TCATGCTTTCCAATGTGCATTAATCAACATTAAATTTCATCTGCCATTTTGTTGCCCAGTCACCTAGTTTTGAGAGATCCTTTTGTAGTTCTTCTCAGTCTGCCTGTGTCTTAACTACCTTTAGTAATTTTTTATCATCTGCAAATTTTGCCACCTCACTGTTTACCCCTTTTTCCAGATCATTTATGAATATGTTGCATAGGACTGGTTCCAAAACAGACCCCTGTGGGACACCACTGTTTACCTCTCTCCATTCTGACACTGACCCTTTGTTTCCTATCTTTTAACCAGTTACCAATCCATGAGAACACCTTCCCTCTTATCCCATGGCAGCTTATGCTTTGCGTAAGAGCCTTTGGTGAGGGACCCTGTCAAAGGCTTTCTGAAAATTTAAGTACACTATATCCACTGGATCCCCTTTGTTCACATGCTTGTTGACCCCCTCAAAGAATTCTAATAGATTGGTGAGGCATGATTTCCCTTTACTAAAACCATGTTGACTCTTCCTCAACAAATTATGTTCATCTATATTTCTGACAATATTGTTCTTTATTATAGTTTCAACCAGTTTGCCTGGTACTGAAGTCAGGCTTACACACCTGTAATTGCTGGGATCATCTCTGGAGCCCTTTTTTAAAAATTGGCCTCACATTAGCTATCTCCCAGTCATCTGGTACAGAAGCTGATTTAAATGATAGGTTACAGACTGCAGTTAGTAGTTCTGCAATTTCACATTTGAGTTCTTTCAGAACTATTGGGTCAATACCATCTGGTCCTTATGACTAATTGCTGTTTAATTTATCAATTTGTTCCAAAACCTCCTCTAATGATACCTCAATCTGGGACAGTTCCTCACATCTGCCACCTAAAAAGAATGGCTGGGAGCTGGGAATCTCCCTGACATCCTCAGCCATGAAGACCGATGCAAAAAATTCATTTAGTTTCTCCGCAATGGCCTTATCGTCTGTAAAGATGCTGGCTTTGGTGGAACCCAACTGAGAGTACCAATTCAGGACGAATTGCTTAAAGCAGGGCAGTTACAGCCGAAGGCTGGGATCCTTTGTACGCCAAGGCAAACCAAACCAGCCAAACACAGAAGACTTCAATTTTAGCCCACTGGCTATCTAGAAGTCATACAAGCAATTCCCTTAGACACTCCAGTTTCCAAGTATCACCACCAGTACCACTCGTTATAGGGATGAATGGTTATGAAAACCAATATCCCAGCAAAAGAAAAAGGTTCTCCCGATTCCAAAGGACCAAGTCCCAGACCCAGGTCAATATACAAATGAGATCTTACCCACAATGAGGATTTCAAAGGAAATGAGCATTGCTGTTCGGGGCAAAATATTACTTTGAGTTTTGTCACGCGGTGTACAGTCACGACCACCTTTCCAGGTACCGTTGCCACCTCTGCTTGAGTGTGATATGCTCAGAGAGTGTGGGCGTGCAGCTGAGGTGTCCTAGTGTATCCTGTATTGTCACTCCAAAGAGTGTTTAGACAGACACACTGATTGTGAATTGAAAAAACAAGTTAAATCCCTGTCTAAAACGTTATGTGATCAGTGTCAGTCTTATGTGGATAAGCGGCACAAGTGTAAAGGGAGGCGCTGTGAGCAGTGTCAAGGTTTGTTCACTGGTGATGTAGACAGCCACCTGTGTTTTATGGACAGCATTAGAAAGCCCGAATCATCAGAAAAGTGTATTTTTTTACAATTTTGAATGCACGCAGGAGACAGGGTTGCACATGCCCAATTACATTTTTGCTATGTCCCTAAAGCAACTTTTAAGTCTGCATATCTATTCAAGGGTGCCCAGTTGAATATCTACTCCCTTCCCAAAGTATAAACATCCAGTGTCCAGGGCTGAATCTGCCCCTTAATCTGTGGTTTTCGAAGAGCAATAATGATCAGATGCACAAAGTGCCAGGTCACATCAGTTTATTAAAATATAAAAGTATTTCTCCAAGAGTCAGAATAATAAAACCACAGGCAATGAGTATATGGAGCAGTGAGATAGAATGCACACTGGTTCCTGATTGCAGAATACAGAGTAAATCTGTTGCACCAAATTGGTTCATATGATGCTATCAGAGCCCAAGACAATGCAACTCTCTGAACTTTACTCTTTTGTGTTTTTAGCTTCCCCATTTACTCTGCAGCAACGCTTCTTTTACCTAAACTAAAGATCCCTGTAGTGCCCCAAAATCCTGTGGAGTTTGCTCATCAAGTGGGTTACCACCAGAACAATTGTAACGTGAAAGTTGGAATAGGGACATGCTAAAACTGTGGCATACCAGGGTTGCAGCTTGAAAGTGCTGCTTGGCCCAGTCTATCGAGTCCAGGGACATATAAGGGTGACAGCTTAAAAGTGCTGATTGACCCGATCTGCTCAGACTTCCTCTGTTAGTGTGTGTGTGTGTGTGTGTGTGTGTATGTTCATCTGATTCTGGTGCTGGAGGAATCCAGCCCTGGGGAACCTAGGTGCTGCAGGATAGCTCCAGTGGGAGGGGACTTGCAGAAGGGAGAAGTAGAGCTCCATATGAGAACACAAGTGACACACGCAGTACATTGATAGAATTACCGACACCCCTCCCCCAGAAGAGTAACCCTAATAAATGAGCATACCCCAAAGTAATGGGCAAATCTGGTAACAGACTATGTCCACGGGGACAGAATACCTTACAAAGGCAACAGACACTGGAGGAGCTTTGGGGCTGGCCTGCAATTCTGCACTGGGCGGATATGGTCCTGTGATCTAAGGGACCCTCGGATAAAGGAAGGGGGCTGGTAGAGCACATAGTGGTTATGTAACTAAACCGTCTTCTTCTTGTCCTTCTTCTCAGTCAGCTGTTTTCCACCTTACTCCCCCTTCCCACTCATGTTTTCTGACGTTTACTTTGGATACTACTCCCAGGACTGGAATATTGGGTGGGCAGTTCCACAATGCAAATCCTATAGCAAGGCCTCTATATCCCTGCTCAAGTGGTCGATGGGTGCGGCACTGGACCGGCAAAAATTGGACTTGAGAAATTATCTGTGGAGTGGGTCTGTTAGCCAAATGGGCTCGTTTCCCCCTGGAGCTGCCCAATTACCCCAAGGAGGCACGGGAGTCGAGAAGACGGCTTCAAGTTCTTTACTGATCAGTCAGCTGAGCGGGTGTCCCCCTCGACTCATGCCAGAGGGAGGAACACACCTTACAAGCACAACTGGGCTTCTTTTATACAGAGAGACAAACAACTTAGCGTGTCTAAATTCTGCTAACCTATGCATTGTTTAAATTCAGTTCTAGTAGTAATCAGGATACATCTGTTTAGCTTCCCGTCCTTCACATTCCTTTCCCAGGGTCCGTCCAACCCCCTCCCCTTTTCCATATATCCTTGTACACTTCCTATATACGTGCAGCTTTATGCATGGAAAACGGCAGTGTGAACTGACATA